GGACACTCTGGCCCCAGATCAGCAGCGTGGTGAGGCTGTCCAGGGGTGACCTGTGAGCCTCACCCTGCCAGGACCCTGCTTCCTGTGCCTGGGGAGAGCTCTGGAGCTAAACCAGCCGCGTTTGTCTGGGAAGGGCTGAGTTCAGGAAGGCCTGGAGGGGGCTGTGGGTGCTCGCTCTGGACACTCATTCCAAAGGAAGGGAAGGGATCCTGCAGCCCCATCCCACAGGACTGGACTGGCAGGAAGCAGAGCTGGTGCCCTGCAGAAGAGAAAAGCCTCAGCCAGGGGTTTGCAGCAGATTTTGGTCACCTCGGCTTAAAATCTCCAGGCAGAGGCTGAAGAAATCCCCTGTTGAAGTGAGATGTGGACAACCTTTCCCTTCCTCTTGGGTCTCCTGATTGCCCTTTGGTTTCTGCCTGAAATTTCCTGATTGAATCACGGACTGGTTTGGGTTGGAAGGAACCCCAAATCCCACCCATTCCCAGCCCTGCCATGGCAGGGACACCTCCCACTGTCCCAGGAGCTCCCAATGTCCAGCCTGGCCTTGGGCACTGCCAGGGATCCAGGGGCAGCCCCAGCTGCTCTGGCAATTCCATCCCAGCCCCTGCCCACCCTGCCAGGGAACAATTCCTGCCCCTGTGTATGCTGAATTTCCCCTGTCTCGGTCTGAGCCAGTTGTTCCCGTCCCTGCAGCCCCTGGCGAGCTCTGCCTGCCCCTCTCTCCCTTTCTGGGCCTGGGGCTCGGAGGGGAAGAGAAGGAGGAAAATGAAAGAGAAAGGGCAGGAGGGGAAAGGGAAGGGGAAAGTGTGGGGGATGTTGGGGAAGGAGGAAGGAAAGGAGTGCGGGGATGACGAGGGAGCCGGCTCAGACTCCGGGATGTGCGGGCAGGGGTTTCCTCCTCCTGTCGGGACAGGTCGCGATAGTCCCGAGAGAGCCTCAAAACCGCAGGGGGAGGGCGGAGGGGTCCGTGCGGGTCCCTGGGAGCAGATGGGCACCCCCCACCCCGTAACCTTACCCCGCTGCGGCTTACCCGGGGCTCCCCCTGGGGCGGGGGAACATATGGGGACTTTGGGGGGCCGCAGGGAGGCCGGCTTCATTCGCAGGTAGCCCGTGAGGAGGGGCCGGGGGGCACGGCTCGCTCCCGGCCCCGGCTCCCCTCCGGCCCCGGGAGGATGCGCGGCCCCGAGCTGACGGGCAGGGGGCATTTGGGGTGGGGGCGATGCTGCCCTCGCTGTTTCTGGCCGGGGTGAGGCCGAAAGGGCCCCCAGAGGAGCCGAGACCCCCCCGCCCTTGGGGGCTCCCCGGGACCACCTGTTAGAGACAGGGCCGGGCCCTCGGGGGCGAGCCGGGCAGGCAGACGAGCAGGATTTACCGGCTTCTGGCCACTGCCGACTTTTGCATCTGTCAGGGTGCTAATTATTGCCTTTAATAGAGACAAAGAACAGCTCCTAATGATGCTCCCTCTAATTCTCACCTGCTCCTGCCCTTCCTCGGCGGCAGCGCTCCCTCGATGCCGCTGCGCTAATTGGGAAAGCTGCTCTGCTTCTCTCGGCCTCCCCGCAGATGGGGGTGCGGGGGGAGCTGGCACCGCTATCGGGGCTCCAGCAGCTCTGCAGCCCTGCAGCCCTGCAGCCCTGCAGCCCTGCAGCCCCGGAGCCCTGGAGCCCTGCAGCCCTGCAGCCCTGCAGCCCCAGAGCCCTGCAGCCCTGCAGCCCTGAAGCCC